TGTAGGCAAAAAAGACTTGTACACATAAATAAATAAAAAAAAACTGTGCAAAGGCAGAGATGAATTTGGGTGAGACTGGGGAGGAAAAGGAATCTGAAGGCAGGAGCTGAAGCAGAAGCCATGGAGGAACGCTGCTTACTGGCTTGCTCCTCCATGGCTTGCACAGCTTGCTTTCTTGTACATTCCAGGACGCCTGCCCAGAGGTGGCTCTACCTACAATGGGTGCACTTCCACATCAATCATGAATCAAGAAAAGGTCTCACAGACTTGCCTACAAGCCAGTGTGATGGATGCCAATTTCTCCATTGAGGGCCCCTCTTTCCAGGTGACCCTGGATTGTGTCAAGTTGACCAAAAACCAAGCAGCTCACATAATTTTCCTTTTGTTTTCTGTTAACAGCTCTCCCTCCATCTCAACCCTAAATTCTCAGTCATTGGGCTCTCTTCTTGCCATGGAGATAATTACCATGGATGATTGCCTCTCTTTCTCCCCCCCCACTTTGTGTGTGTGTGTGTGTGTGTACAAACACATGTGGCTACAAATGTATATGTTCTTTAAAAATTGTTTTTACTATCATACAAAAATTACTTTCTTTTGGAAAATCTATTTTTAATTTATGATAAGCTTTACTCTTAGAATAAAATCCACAGAACAATCCATTCTATTTCACCTTTAAAGATTGGCATGTAGAGCAGGAACGTTCTTATTCTTCTTTCCCCCTTTTTAAACTTTTATATTTTATACATATGGGAGTTTTTTTATCTGAGTGTTTGTCTGTGCGCCACTAGTGTGCCTAGAGGCCAAAAGAGGGCACTGGATCCCCTGAGACTGGAGTTACAGATGGTTTGAGCTGCTATGAGAATGCTGGGAATTGAACCCAGGTCCTCTGGAAAAGCTGCCAGTAGGTTTAACAGTTGGGCTGTCTCTAGGCCAAGTCTCATTTTGTCTGTCTACCCCCTTCCCATTCTTACCAGTTCAGGTTCTCATCAGCTCCTATGTGGGAGAGTTCCTAAGTGGATTGCCTAAGCCAAAGTTCCTTATTGAAATCCAATTGAAAAGAACTCTCGTCAAGAATTTATTGGGTTGGATGGTGATGGTGGTATGCCTTTAGTCCTAGCACTCGGGAGGCAGAGGCAGGTGGATCTCTCTGAGTTCGAGGCCAGCTTGGTCCACAAAGCTACACAGAGAAACCCTATCTGGGGCAGGGGGGAGGGGGATGACAACGACAAAAAACAACAGATGTCACATCTCAAAAGATAATCATAAGACCTCTTCTGAACTCCCAAAGATGTCAACCTAGTCAGACACAAACTGCCTCTTACCAGTCAACAACAGAGAAGCAGAAGGGGCGTGTTCCGTTTCTTCATGTCACTGAGAAAACAAGTGATTTTAAAAAATTACTTTTTACATGTGTGGGTGTTTTGCTTGCATGTATACTTCTACCACATACATTCTTGGGGCCTCTGGAGGCCAGAAGAGGGCACTTTATCCCACTGAACTGTAGCTAAAGATGGTTGTGAGCTGCCACACGCATTCTGGGAACTGAACCTGGGTCCCCTTCAAGAGCAGCCAGTGCTCTTAACCCATGAGCCATTTATCCAGCCCCAATTAAAAAGTTTTGTGAGGAGGCCTCCTAGAGTGGGGAAGAAACACAAAGAGGCAAAAAAAAAAAAAAAAAATCTAAACTGGCTCTCTTTACAGGGAAGCACTCGTAAAGTAGATCCTTCTTTCACACACTGCACAAAAATCAACTCCAAATGGATCTAGGAGCTGAACATAAATCCCCAAACTTTGAAACTGTTAGAGGAAAAAGTAGGCAATGTGCTTCAAGACAAAGGCATAGATAAGAACTTTCCAGATAGGACCCAAGTCACTCAGGAAATAAAACCCAAATCAACAAATGGAACCTGATCAAATTACAGAGCTCTGTAAAGAAACAGTTAATCACACGAAGAGACAGCTGACACAATGGGACAAAATACCTGACAGATTAGTGCCAATAATTTACAAAAACTAAAGAAAAATAAATCTAAAGGAAAATTAGAATTAAAATTAAAATTAGAATTCGGTTCAATCGGTTCAAAAAGGAACTCAACAGTGACCAAAACAAGAAATACAAACAGGGAATAAATATTGAAAACACTCTTCTACACACTTAGTCACCAGGAAGTGCACATTGAACACACTCTGGAGAGATGGCTCAGAGGTTAAGAGCACTGGCTACTCTTCCAGAAGTCCTGAGTTTGGTTCCCAGCAACCACATGGTGGCTTATAATCATCTTATAATGAGTTGTGGTGCCCTCTTCTGGCCTCCAGGCATACATGCAGGCAGAACACTGTTTACATAATAAAAAAAAATGCTATGTAGACAAGGGATTTGCTATGTAGACAAGGCTGAACTGAAACTCAGAGGTCTCCATGCCTCCCAAATACTGGGATGAAAGATATGTGCCACTATGCTCAGTCAAGTACTTTTTAATGTAAAGTCACATATATAACCCCAGTACAACAGCAGAGGGTAACTTCAATACTATACTCTCACCAATTAATAAGTCTTCCCAATAAAACCCAGAAATAAACAAACTGATAGCAAACAGACTCGATATCTAGAGAATATTCCGCCCAAACACTGCAGACTTTTTATTTAAGACAGGGTCTCATCATGTAACTGTGGCTTGTCTAGAACTAGCTATATAGACCAGACTTGCTTTGAAGTCAGAGACCTGCCTGGCTCTGCCTCCCAAGTGCTAGGATTAAAGGCTCGGGTTACCATGTCTGGCACCATCAGCTACTGACCAGATTTAAAGCATCATATTCCCTCCGTTGAGGTGGGCCTCAGACCCAGCAAAGAAGCAAATGGTTAGCCCTGGAAGTCATGACACCATCACATCATGCACATTTTGTTGACAGGTCAAGATTACAACATTTGGGGTCCACCGCTATGTTCAGATTTTGATGGACCCCCCCCCCCAACCCTGGCTTTTCTGAGCAGAGCTGCAATGAACACGGATGTGTGAGTATTTGTGGCAGGGTAGTCTTTTGGGTATATGCTTAGGAGTAGTATAGCTGGGTCACATCATAGTTGTAGTTTTATTTCCCTGGAACTCTTCCTTTGGGTGCTGGGATTAAAGTTGTGTGCCTCCACACTCAACTCTTGTTGGATACTGGATAGGTAATTTAGACTTAATTGATTGGGTAGCCTATACAGAACAAGTCTTATTCTGCTCACAGCTTTAACGGTTGAAGACAACTCACTAGCCCATATGAGGGCCCTCTGCCTTGATTACAGCATAGATGGCATCATGGTGGGGAAAGAATGAGAGTTGAAGATCACAGAAAGCCAGAGATGGAGCGGGCAGAGCTAAATATCTACCTGTTCTTGTCAGAATGGACCTAATCAGCCGCTTACAAGGGCAGCAATGCAAAATTATCTGCCTTTCACTAGGCTGCATTATTTTAAAAAAAGGATTCAAAACTTTAGTTTTAAAAATTGCCTTTGTTACAACTTAAAAAATTTCTTTTTACCATATCCAAACAGTTAATAAACATGTACAGTAGGGCAAACTGAGAAAGTAAAAAGCTCCTTTCCCCATTTATCTGACTTCTAACAGGTGCTTCTGTCCTCAGATGGCTGGTATGAAGTTCTTAAGGCTGCTTTAATGGACATTTCTGAAGAACTTGTCCTCCACTTAGGTCCCAAAGAGAAAAAAGTTACACAGACCTCTAAGGAACAAGTGTTCTCAACTCACACCCTGGCTGGACTCCCAATTCTGCACGAGATGTTTTCATTGTCAAGTGGTCCTTAGTTTCCCCACACGATATACCATTTTCTCCTTTTTACCCTCATAAAGGTGAATCTACACTTCAAACACAACATGATTTTGGGACAATCTCCGATATTTAAAAATATACATATATATTTATATATCTATACATACATATATATGCAATTTTTTTTTGAGATAGGGTCTCACTGTGTAGCTTTGGCTGGAAGCTAGATATGTAGAGTAGGCTGGTCTTGAACTTACAGATTCACATGCCTTTTTCTCCCAAGTGGCATTACATGATGGCTGTACCATCTTGCTGCAGGAGACTGATTTTTAATGAGAATGCCCCAAGAATGGAAAATGTGTCCTGTTATCACAATAAATAAGAGGACAAATGATCTCAAAGAAGCCAGGTAGGATTCTGCCCACAGAGTAGCCAGTCCCTAGACACAACTCATAAAACTGGGGTATACTATTTAATTTTGACAAGGAACCAGCATTGTGAACAGTTCACAATATTTCCTTTAGTACAAATGGGTACACCAGTATAAGGAACCCTCCCACATGAACAAGCTTCATGGCTTCAGATGGCAAAGCAAAGGAATACAGGAACAGGCTAGAAGCCTTCATTTCTGAAAACTTCCACCACTCAAGGGTTGGGGGTTGGGTTCCTGCAGGCACATGGCTGCTCATAGCTGTAACTCAAGTCCCAGGAGATCCAATACACTTCCTGCCCTCCAGGGTATTAGGCTGATTGTTAAGCCAACACCCATGCCCTTGGGTGGGTCTGTGTACTTTCTCTTAAACCTCATAGGTAAACTGTATTAACAAATCTTTATTAAACCCCAGCTATGCTTCATATGAACAGCTCCTCACACCAGGGACCATGCTCGACACACAACTTTAGAATTCCTGTTGGCCACCCTTTCCTTTCCTCAAATCACTGTTTTCATTTCTTGTTTATGAGCTGCGTTATTGGTTATTCTGGTAAATATAAACGTCTGATTTTCCCCTTGTCCCTTTTTACACAATCACTTGGATACATTAAAACAAAACAAACTCATCAGATTTTTGGTAAACAAAATTTAATGCAACCATATAGTCAAGTAACATTTAAAAGACATTAGATACAACTTTCTTAAAAATTTAAACTATGGAAGAAGTGCCATTAAATAAAAACATGAGCATTAATGTACTGCAACTCAACTGAGAACAAGGACATAGAAAACATTCTTTTTTTTTTTTTTCATTGTGAAGATTCAAACTGAAAGCAATAGGCGTGAAGCAGTTACAGTAAAGCACATTACAGCTGTTCAGTTCTGAAAGCCTTACCTCAGCTAGCTCTGAAAGTCACACACTGCAGGAGGGGGGTGATAAAGACAAAAGTGCTTTCTCAAGAAAGTTCAAAGAAAAAAGCCTAGAGCAGAACTAATTACTACTATAAGGACGTAACAGGAATAATTACAGTTTCTTCACTATTAGATATTTCAAAGACCTTTATGAGAGCCAAATGGTTGTTTATCTGAGAATTTTAAAAGCACCTAGGTACCAAGAGTTAAAAATGTAAACCAACTTCCTTTAACAGTCTCTTTCTGCCAAGCAACTACACAGTTGGGACTCACAAAAGCATTTCAGGGCAGCTGGGTGTGGTGGACTATAATCTATAATCCTGGCATTTAAGGGCAGAGGCAGAAGGATTGCCATGCTCATGGCCAGACTGGCCATGTACAGAGTTCCAGGTTAGCCAGGGCTACATTAAATCAACCAAACAACCAACTCACAGACAAGAACCCAAACAGTCAGGTGTGGCAGATAGTCACATGCTATCATCTGAGCCCTTGGGAGATACAGAAAGAACAACTGGAGTTCAAGACCATCTTCAGCAAAACAAAAAGAGTTCTAGGCCAGTCTGAGTTATATATGACCCTGATTCAAGAGATAAAAACCCAGTTTCAAAAAGAAAACTTAAAATAAGAAATGCATTAACTGCCCTGGGAGCAAATCTGCAGTTTATGTATGCTTCGTTTTAACAGACTGAAATGGCACTGGGGATTCAAGGCACAAACATTAAAAAACTTCTTTGGAACCATATAGGAAGTTACGACTTCACTTTTTAAAAATTTAGGATCACCTTTGGCACTATGTAAGCTTAATATTTAAGGTAATCACACAAATGTAAAAAGGTTCACATACAATATTTTAATGATATTCATTTATTTTGATGTGTATGAGTGTTTTGCTTGTACTATGATGTTTGCACATAATGTGTGTGCAACACATGTGTGCCTGGTGCCTGTGGAGGCACAGATGCTTGTGAGCCACCAATGAGGGTGCCTGGAACCCGCCCCAGATCCTTTGCAAGAGCAGAAGAGCTAGTGCTCCTAACTGTTGGGCCATCTCTCCCACCTCCTTATAAATACAATACTTGAAAATGTCTAAAATATTTTGAAAATATCTCTGGTATTATCAGTTTACACTCTTGGGAGTGGTGTCTGATGCCTGGCATTAGATGTTGTATATTTAGTGAGTCAAATCTATTACCTTACAGGTCAGCCAAACTGCTTCATTATGGTTATGTGGTATAGTGAATTGTTTATTTATTTAACATAATAATGGGTAAAGTGATATAATTCTAGCTTCCTATACAATGCCAAACAATTCCATTATTATTTCTGACATGAGATTTTATGTGAAGTCTGGCCTCAAACTGACTGTATAGCCATGGCTGCCGTTGAACTCTCCTGAACCTCCAGCCCCTACTTCCCAAGGGCTGGAATTACAGGCATTGCCGCCATACTCAGCTATGTGTACTTAAGTCTAGCAAGTCCAAATCATGCTAACTAGTAGTGTTTTGGATTGACTATGAATCAAGGCAGTCCACAGGAAACCTCTAGACATTATGTTATCACTTGGTACCACATCAAATCTGGGGTATGTGTCCTTTTCACATACATCCCAAGACGTTAAAGGAACACAGATACCTCAACTCCCTTCCTTTCTTTGTGCACCGGCTCTTAAAGTGATTTTTAGAATCTACTGTCAGATCAGGAAAAAGCAGCACACACCCCAGTTTGGACATGGACAAAAGTAGAAAAACAACCTTTGTCTTTCCTGAGTTTCAAAGTGGGAGTCTAACAGCAGATACATAATTCATATTCACCAGGAGACTATCAGTTCACAAAGCACTGCCATCCTTCTAAGTAGAGTGAATGTTCAAAAACACAACCACAGCCATGTGTGAAGCTTCTGGAAGAATTTTTGTCCAGAGTCATCAACTGAATGGCATTTAAGAGACAGCACTTTGCACATACCCCAAACAGGCAGCAGTGACAAGCTCACATTCTCCCTGAGCAGTTACATCTTTTAACCTGATTCAAATGGAGTAAACACCTGGATCCCAACCATCTACGAGACAGCTACGGAAAATCCAATTCCTCTGTTAGTGAAGTCAGTGGGGATGGCACAGTAGAAAAGGAGGAATTGAGGCCACCTTGTCACATACATGAAGAAAAGTTGGAAAAGATTTCAAGTTCATGACAAAATGCACACGAAAACCAAGTGATTTTCTGTTGATCCACAAAACACACCTTCAAGTTCTTTCCAACTGAGATGGTCACAGCCGGCTCTTGTGATCTGAGCAGCCTGCTTTCTGACCCTTAACACTGCTGTCACACCGGTGCACAGAGCCTCACAACCACATCAGTACTTTCAGATGAAACGACTATTCTAGAAAACTGGTGCTGGCTTCCACTTGTGCCTGCAGCACTCAGAAGGCAAAGAATTGCCAAGAGTTTGAGGTTAGCACAGGCTACAGAGATCCTGTCTCAACAACAAAGAGTACTCCAGAAGGATTCAAATTTAGTCTTCTGCAATTGAATAGAATATGATCAACTAATTTTTTATCTTATAACTATCTCTGCAAAAATCATTGGGTGTTTGTGATGTATGTACACAAGCATACTGTCTACATATAAACATATACACATAACTTAGAGGTACATATAAGTATCACCTACCAAAAGAACATCTGCCAATTATGGGAGGACAGAATGAAAATAGTCTGACACCAAGATGGTTGATACATCCCTTTTAATGAACTAATTATATCCTAAAATTATTTTTCTTATGCCAGGGCTGCTTACCACCACTTATCAAGAATTAGTAAAGAAAAAAGTAATTAAAGGAAGTTAAAATGTAAGAAAGATAAGTAATTAAAAGAAGTTAAATATCAACTGGGCAGCTTTAAAAAGTTAATTTTCTACAATTCAAGATACTTTCTTGTGACTTTTTAACATAATTTGCAACTACTCAATTTACGTAGTTTTTAATTACGTAAAAGAAAAATTAATTTGTTTAAACAAATTCAGATTTTCAGGATATTTTCCAATTTACTACAATAAACACAAGGATATATGAAAGATAAACATTACAAAATACAAGTAGATAATACTTTTACAATAGACAAAAATACTAAAATACAAATTTACTTTGAGAAAGTCTTTTATATGATGTATTTCTGAATGGACATGATCTTACAAATATACATGAGAATAACAATTATCATTTGTAGAATCCTAAGCATTTACAAAAACATCTTTGTTCACACATTTTACTGTTAAGAATTTCTGAATTAAACAGTTTCCATTATCTAACAAAAGTATAATGCAGGTATTTACTATAAAATTACAGTACAAATACCCTCAATTGTACATACAACTGTCTTTCAACTGACAGATAAATGTTTTCTGAATTGCTTCTATAGTTAACAGTTATATCATTTAAAGTTTATGACTTGAAAACAATTTGATAAGTGTATTTTCTATTGTTTTTCTCAGAATTTAGATTTCAAATAAGCACGACTCTTAAGCACGACTCTAAGATGAGGAAGAGAAAGTTTGCCAATGTTAGGCTTCTGATGATTACCTTAATTTCGACAGAACTCTAATGACACTATAGTCACTGACAAGGGAAGTTAAACACAGCAAGCTACCTGGGATAACCTACAGCATTGTAAATTGTGATCTGTCCACACGGAAGTTACAATAATTAGTTATGCTAGTTCCTGCTGTATCCACTTATATTTCTAACAAAAAAAAACTTTTGTATTTCCCTTTGAAAACTGGTAAGCTTTATAAATAGAGGTGGAAAAACCTAGAGGAAAAAATTTTTAATAGAAATTTGAAAATGTTGGCCAATATTTTATACAATGACTCCCAAATAAGAGATTTCCTCAGAAGACTGGAACTGCTGCTGGTCAGTGTTGCACAGTGCTAACTTACAAACAAGTGGCCCCACTGAGAAAAGTGGCCTCTACTCTAGGTTATTAGGAATTGGGTGTAGAGACTCCCAGGACTGGTTGATGCTTACAAGGCAGAGAAGAGGTCCTCAAGAAAGCATCAAACTAGGAAGGTCAACCTACTGGGCTAGGTAGGCAGAAAACCTGTCTTGTTTTCTTACAGCAGTATTATACAACATATTTTTGCTTTTTTTTAAAGGTTTATTTCTTTTATGTACATATGTGTGTCTGTGTGAATTTATGTACACCATATGCTGTAGGTGCTCAGGGAGGCCAGAGGTGTTGGATTCTCTGGAACTAGAATTATAGGCCTTTGTGAACCATCTGATATGGGTGCTGGGAGTCAAACCAGGGTTCTCTGCAAGAGCAGTAAACACTGAGCCAGCTCTTCAGTCCCAATTTGGTTTCTTTGGATGCACCTTCCAGAGCCTGGAGACAGGTGTACACCACCTCCTGGGATACAGATCTTGGAGACAGGTGTGCACCATCACTTCCTGGCTCTGTAAAAGGGATCTCAACTCCTCTGTTAGTTTCAAGGGAAGAACTTCTTTAGTGGACTCAAATTATTCATTAAATACCCTGAGAACCAAAGTGGATCACATTTTTTCTTCTTCACTGGTTATTTTAATTTTTTCCTTAGGGACTAATGTGTAATTTAAATCTCCTTACTTTTATATCTCTTACATAAAGCTCACAAAAAGTATTTAATAACAGACAACAGTCTATGAAGTCACAAAATTTGGTATTTTAGGGTAGCTGAATTGTCACTACATTTTTACAATTAGAAAAACAAACAAACAACAAACAAATAAACAAACCCTTCACTGAAATTAACCAGTATGGATAAGGTCAGTGACAGATGTTTAAAACTCATTCCATAATGAGTTCTAAACGTTAACATCAGGCAATTCAAATTAAATGAAGCTTCAGCCATACAATTATTCTCTACATAACTGACAAAAAAGAAATAAACATTCCTTAAAGACAGTTCACAAATCCCTAAGAAGTTTACAGCGGGGTGTCCTTTACTACCCCACATAGTTTCTCACGGATACCAAAGTGTATTCATAGGCAAATTATCTTTTTAGAGACAAGGTTTGATTGTGTAGCCCTTGCTGACCTAGAACTTGTTATGTAGATCAGGCTAGGTTCAAACTCAGAGAAATCCACCAGCCTTTGCCTTCTGGGTGCTGGGATTAAAGGTGTTCACTACTATGCCTGGCTTTAACCGTCATTTTAACACGCCTCACCCCCAGTTACATGAAGGGATTTATTACAGCTTGAAATACTGGTATTTTGGGTGGAAAAGCATCAGGATTATTTATTTTTTGAATACAGCACAATGGAGATGTGTTCTCACTTGGTAGCTTTTAAAACTTCTCTTGGGCTGGCGTAGTATCTTTTGCGAGGTACCCTGGGTTTAAAGCTTAAAACATTTCTCATTGTATCTATGAATAGTTACACATCCATGATAGGACACTGGTCTGGGCATTGCAGCAACCCCTGTGATGATACTTGTCGCAGGATCGTAACAGAGAATAGTGTCTGTGGCTTCTCCGTTTTCCCGTCTTCCACCCAGGATATAGATCTTACCATTACATACAGACATACCACAGTTTTCCTGTTTGATCAAATACATAAAAAATTAATTATTGATGATAAAGTATTTCAAACAACAACATGCTTTAACACAGTACAAGCAGCTCGTCTACCTTTTGCCCAACGCCTGTTATACTCGAGTGTTGAGTATTTGCATGAATGAAGTGAGCACACGTTAGTAACAGAGGCCAAGATGTGAAGGGCACGGTAGACTGACAGGCTTTAAACAGCTTACTGCAGGGAAGGGAAGCTATTATAATTATCACATGACCAAGGAACAAGGGCACTAGTCTCTTTAGAGAAACTTAACTTGAAAAAAATAAATGAGATTTTTAAAATTTTCTTTTTTGCTTTTTTTCATTGTTTGGTTTTTCAAGACAGGTTTGTGTAACCTTGGCTGTCCTGGAACTCATTCTGAAAGCAGGCTGGCCTCAAACTCTCAGAGATCCGCCTGCCTCTGCCTCCCAAGTGCTGGGACTAAAGGTGTGCACCACCACCACGCAGAGAAAAACAGATTTTAATCATAGTTAAAAGAAAACCTGTTATTAGAGTTCTTCAATGGGACACATAAAGGGCACCAATACATTTTAGTTTATTCTACACAATGAGCTCCTAAGCCAAATTGTATTTGTATGTAAATAATTACTAGTCAAAAGAAATATTCTTACAAGGATGAGTCTTTAAAAACAAAAATACAGAATCTTACTCATCTGTAGCCCAGGCAGGCCTTGAACTAACAACAATCCTCCTGTCTTAGCACCTGCAAGTGCTGAGATTACAAACTTGCCTTCAGATTTCTCCTCATTTAAGTATTCTAAAGTTTAATGACAGTTGAAATGCTTGATATACTGAAGAAGGAAAAGGAATATTCACTGATTTAAAAATGCTCCCCCCCTTACTTAAAAAAACATTGCATTGCTGGGCGTTGGTGGCGCACACCTTTAATCCCAGCACTCGGGAGGCAGAGGCAGGTGGATCTCTGTGAGTTAGAGGCCAGTCTGATCTACAGATCGAATTCCAGGACAACCTCCAAAGCAATACAGAAAAACTCTGTCTCGGAAAACCAAAACAACGAAACATTACATTTTGTGTGCACCAGGGTATTAGCATGTGTGCGATGCTGGAGGCGACTCAAGGGTGCTGCCCTCTCCTACCATGTGGGTGCCAGCTGGTCAGGCTACTTACTTCTTCACTTGCTCACCAATTCAACAAAATATGTTCTGAACATGAATATATGCAAGACATAAAGAAAATGAATTTCGAATTCAACAGTATCCTAAAGAAGGCTGAATTCCAGTATAGGAAATAAACATTTAAGCAACCAGGGCTCAGTGCTTAAGAGCACTTGCTGTTCTTCACAGAATCCACATCCCGTTCTCAGCACCCACACCAGGCAGTTCAACTGCCTGCAATTCCAGCTCCAAGAGATCTGATGCCCTCTCCTGGACTCTGAGGGCACCTGCATACATTTGGCATACATTCACACAGACCCATAAATAAAAATAAAATCTAAAAACAAACAAACAAACAAACAATCCAGCCAGGTTAAAGAGATGGCCTAGTGGCTAAAAATGTTTGCTGCTGCTCCAGTGGACCCAAATCCAATTTCTAGCAACCATTCCAGGGATTCAAGATCCTTTTCTTGTATCTGGGGACACTCATACACATGGTATGCATACATAATACACATATAACACACACAAACACACACGCTCACTCATTCATACCAAACCCTAAGGGAAGCTGGTAGATGACTTTCTGGTTAAAGGTGTTTGCTGCCAATCCCAACAACTTGTGTTCCATTCCAAGACCCACATAGTGGAATCCTGTACATTGTCCTCAGACCTCCACATGTGCTGTGACACACACACACACACATACACACAAATACATTAAAAAAAAATCAAAACGAAACTCCTAAGGGATCCTGGCACTATAGTATACACCTGTAACCCCAGCCCTTTGGAGATGGAGGCCTGAGGATCAAGAGTTCAAGGCTAGTTCCAGCTATCCGAGAACTAGTCAAAAAACCAAAATCAACCAATCAACAAAAGGAGCAAAAACTTTAAGGAGTATGCAACTCAGTGTGAATACTACGAAAATAGTGGGAAAAAGGTCAGTTTGACCAAGGTAACCTGCATCTGTTGTTGAAAGATGAATGGAATTACAAGTACAGGAGGTAAAAAATGTACACACAGTCCAACCCAAAACAACGATTTGTACAGAAAATAAAAATAACACACAATGTAACTGGGATAAAGTTACAGAAAATGAAATTAGAAAAAAAAAAAAAAAACAAAGCAATCATCTGGGTGTGGTTGTTGCACACCGTTAGTCCCAGCACTTGAGTGGCAGAGGCAGGTGATCTCTAACTTTGAGGATAGCCTGGGCTACACACAGAAACCTTGTCTCAAAAAACAAACAAACAAAAAAACAAAGCAATCACTTCTTAGCTTTTTGGCTAAGAGCAAGTGGGAAAGAAAGCAAAGATGAGACAACAGAAGGCCTAGAACCAAGTGGTGAGTTTTGGCGTTTGTTCAGTAGGCTTCCGGTCAAGGGGACATGAGATTTTTGGATAATAACTAGTAGCAAACTGGTTTAGAAAAGCTAGACTAGAGAATAGGACTCTGAGGACAGTTCCAGTGTGTGAGCTTCACTATTTTACAGATAGTGAAGAAACCTAGTGAGGTTTCTGGGGCATCTGGTCGTAGAGACAGCAGGAGAGTAGGGAGCACCATGGGCAATGCCACACAGCAGGTGGGAACAATGGTGGAAGCAAGATGAGTCCTGAGCAGCAAATGAAATAATTCAGGAGTAAACTCAAGTTAAGTCAGGGGAAAGAGGTCTAAGTAACACTATATTTAAAGATGGAGTGGAAAAAAGTAAGAGACCATGAAAACAAGAGATGACTACTAGCGATCTTTAAGAATGTGTCTCCGAGGGCCTGAGAGATGTCTCAGCAGCACTGGGCTGCTCTTCCAGAGGTCTTGAGTTCAATTCCCAGCAACCACATGGTGGCTCAAAACTATCTATAATGAGATCTGGCTCTTCTGGCATGCAGGCAGAACACTGTATACCTAATAAATAAGAGGCTGGTATGCTACACACCTTTAATCTTAGCACTGAGGAGGGAGAGGAAAGCGGATCTGTGAGTTTCAAACCAGTCAGAACTACATAGTGAGACCTTGTCTTTAAAAGAGAGAGGAGGAAGAAAAAGAAATATAGAAAGACAAAATCCAGCCAACCAAAGAAAGAGTAAAAGAGAGAAAGGAAGGAAGGATAGATGGAATGGAAGAAAGAATACATTCTGGGAAAACAGGCTGGCTCAGTGGTTAAGAGCACTTGAGTCATTTTCTGAGGATTGGAGTTTGGTTCCCAGCACCCACATCAAGTGGCTCACAACCATCTGTAACTGAAGTTACAGGGAAGTGACCCTCTCCGGGCACCTACATCACGGTGCACATACTACCATGTGAGGAGAGAGAGAATTCCAGCAGTAAAGCAGCATTTGGTAGTAAAGGGAAGGTGAGCAGAGGCAAGAACCCGCAAGCTGGGAGCCTTTCTGAAATACAGAGATAAAAGGGAGATGCAGAACATGTGGATGAATGAGGCCGGAGCACAAACATTTCCTTCACAACAAGTAAGTCTCTATACAGAAGGCCCTCAGTTTGATGTCTCCTCTTCTGAAATATGAAAGGGAAAGGGCAGAAGACTGGAAGAAGATTTTGAAAAATGTGCAGGGTGAGTATTTTTTTAGTCAAAAGCTTAAATATAATGGCTACCTCATGTTGGGTTGATTCAAAAGAAGGTAAACCTGCTAAAGCTAATCTTTGGGGTAGAGCATGTAGTTCAGTGTAGAATGTTTGTTTACCTAGTGTTCATGAGGCCCTGGACCCAATCCCCAGCATCACATAAAACAAAACAAAAAAAAGAGTACAGAGTAAAAAACAATTCCTTGGGAGGGAGTTTAAAAAATTATGAAATATTTGAAGAGTGAAATTCAAGTAACTGATCATGTCACTTATCTCCTCTCAGTTTCTGTTTGGAGTCTCTATGCTGTTACCTGTCGGCTGAATGTGTTTTGTACATGCATCCAGTAGTCCTCAACTGGGTCGTAACAATACACCGCCTTGGTCAGTCCACCAGCCACGTAGATCAGGTTGTTCAGAGAGACAGCTGTTATGCACCTCTTGGCGATTGGGATAGCTGCACGAAGTAGCCAAGAATTGGTTTCGGGATCATAGGATTGAACCTAATGATACAGAAAGAAATGGAGTAAGATGTCTAAACAAATATGTAAATTTGCTTTAAAAATCTGTCAATATATAGAAACATGGTTAAAAAGCAAATGCCTCTAATTCAAACAATTAAATGAGCTTAGTCTGATTAATAAAATTTATGAATTAAGAAAATTCCTGCTTTTTTTAATTTAATTTTTATAAATTATAATTTCACATGTCAATCCCTTCTCTCTCTCCCCTCTTCCCCCCAATCTCCCACCATCCCCTTCCCCTCCACTCCCCATAGAGGGCAGAGCCCTCCACGGCTCCTTCCCCCCCCCCTCACTCCCATCCCCCCTCCCAACCCCCAACCTACCCCCCACCCCATCCACCCACCACTCCCAGGGCAGGGTAGGGCCCTCAATGGGGGCTCTGCAAAGTCCACTAAATCTTCCTGTGCTGGTCCTGGGCCCTTCCCCATGTGTCCAGGGCCAGAGTGTAACCCTTCACGTGGGATGGGCTCTCAAAGTCCCTTCTTGCACCAGGGAAAAAATACTAATCCACCACCAGAGGCTCCCTGGAGTGCAGAGGCCTCCTTATTGACATCCATGTTCAGGGGTCTGGATCAGTCTTGTACTGGCCTCCCAGACAGCATTTGGGGTTGATGTGCTCTCCCTTGTTCAGGCCAACTGTTCCTGTGGGTTTCTCCAACCTGGTACAGACCCCTTCGCTCTTCATTCCTCCCTCTCTTCAACTAAATTCTCGGAAAATTCCTGCTTTTGCCCAGCATCCTCTATATTCTCAACAGGTATCTGTCTCCCTTTTGTATACAGCATTGGGAATTCTCTAAGCACACAACTTACCTTATCAGAACAAGTATTGTCATCAGGTCCTCCACCAATCACAAACAGTTTTCCTATACAGCTTGTTACTGCAGGAGAGCTCACAGCTTCCTTGAGTGGCGCAACTTCTGTCCAACGATTTGAAAAGGAATCATAACACTCTACACTGCTAAGTCTGTTCTGTCCATCATAGCCTCCCACAACATAAACCTGTATGTAAAATTTGGGGGAGAGAATCTTATTAGCAAGTCTAAAATGTTAACTGCTCAGTTAACATTAGAGGGTCCTTCTCATTCAAGGCCTTGACAGCTATGACTACAGTGTATTTAGCTCAGTTTTCTGAGGCTTTTTCATTTCTTAGCACCCCTCTGACAATCCCAGTAAGAACCTTTTCTGGTATGTTCCCCTCAGTGACATTTTAATTACACAGGCATACTATGTATTTGTTTACCTATGCTTTGTCTATGAATGACCATTTTTTTTACACCCCCTTGAAGAACAAGTCTTTACCATATCCATGGGAATGAAGTTTATCAAGTTTTGTTCATTTAACAATGAGATATTTGATAATGAAGCAATAAGGCTATATATACAAGTGTCAGTAGTATGAGCTCTCTGAAGGCAAGGCCCATCTTTCAGCACCTATAGCAGCTAGAAAAATACCTGAGACACAGTGAGCTCAAAGAGCTTTTCAACATTTTCCATGAACAATGGTGGGGCAATACCTCTACATGACATGAATGAGACATTTAGTGAATGGCTTACATGTAAACAAGCCCTTGTGTATCATGGCGTATATTAGAAACTTCTAATCAAGCTTTCTAGTTTCATACCCACATTTCCTTTAAAGGGCAATTATCATCAAGTCTTTTTGCCACATCTCATCAACTGTGAAGTTCAACTGGGTCTTCCACAGATCTCACACCTGCTCTTCCTTTTGTTTTCTATCATTACTGTCTGCCCAAGGGTCCACAGCTCCCTTAACCACATTCCAACCTTCCCAGACACCATCAACACTTTTACAGATCATCAGTGAATGCTTAAGAGTGGGGTTAAACTCACACTTGGTGATTTAAATCTGTCCACAATTTATCTGTGTACCTTCATATACCTAGTGTAGCCAGCACCACTTCTATTGCCCATTTCTCATGTGTAATGTGACCTTGTTTCAAACAAACAACCAAACAACAGAATATGGGGCTAGAGAGATGGCTCAGCAGTCAAGAGCTCTGGTAGAGGACCCGGGTTCTATTCCCAGCATCCACACAGGGTAATTTCAGATCCAGGGGATCTGACACCATTATCTGGCTTTCAAGAGCACAGACTTATGCATATATCAACAAAGAACACTCAACACACACACACACACACACACACACACACACACACACACACGTGCACATGAAATTATTTAAAAACTGTAAATAATAATATAGAACATTGCCACATAACCTTTTTTGTGATTTCTGAGACAAGGCCTCACTCTGAAACATAGGCTGGCCTTAAACTTGTGGCAATCCTCCTGCTTCAGTCTTCCAAGTCTATGATTACTAGCTCGAGTCACACACACACACGCCTGGCACATAATTCAATAGAGATTAAACATGATTTATCCTGCACACATATGTAAACAACATATCCACACCCTACACACGTTAAGAGGCTTCAGGACTAAGCAAATCTGAGTTTCTGCTGCTGTATTGCTTCCTATCTAATGGCGTAAGGTTTCTCGGGTATTTTTTCTGGAGGCGGAGTCTCACCATTACAAAACCCAAGCTGGTCTTAAATTTGCTATGCTCTTGCCTCAGCATCCTCAGTATTGGGATTACAGGCATGTGACACAAAGCCAGGCTCATATTATATGTTCCTTAATGATTCTTCCCCACTCTAAGATGCTTCATCCTACGCCACTGTAAGTTTCCTTGTAGATTATTTAAGATGTAAGGTGTGTTTTGCACCCATGCTTGTCATCGTATGTGTGCCTGCTGTACAGAAAGTGGGCACTGTACCCTCTGGAAATGGAGTTACAATTGTGTGCTGCTGGGAACTGAATTCAGGGGCTGTCTGCAGAGCAGCCAGGGCTTCTGACTGCTGAACCACCTCTCTAGCTCCTAAAAACAGTATTTATAAAGGTCAATAATCTTACAGGTCTGAATTCAGCCTCATTTGAATTTTCAGAATGATAGTTCCCATGAGTTGTGTACTTGCTGTCCAAGAGATGAGAAGTTATTTTTACATAAAATCCTTCTAAGCTTTGAACTGTTGTTGTTTGAGACAGGATTTCACACTGCTCAGCTGCTCTCACTCTTCATGCCCCTGCCTCAGGTGGAGACAGCAGAGCAGATGTGAGTTACCATGTTTGTTTATTTATTCATTCAATGAGACGAGACGGTCTTGCTACACAGCCTAGTGTGGCCTTGAACTTGACCAACTATTTAAATTTGTTATACTTCATTTGTAATCCCTTATTTTTTAAGCATTGACTTCTCCAGTAATACTTTGCATTTTTAAAAATTTGTTGTGTGCACATGTATGCCACTGTGTTATGTGTGGAAGTCAGAGGTCAACTTTTCAGAGTAGGTGTCTTCCTTCCATGCTGTGCATCTCCAAGATAAACCTCAGGTGTCAGGTGTGCTTTTACCCACTGAACCATCTTGCTGGCCTGCTTTGTCATTACGAAGAAAATTATTATCATGTGTCTTGTACTTAAGTGACAGGACAACTTTCTGGAGATGGATCTCTCTTTCCACTGTAGTATCTGGTATGTCGGTATAGGTCAGAGGTCAACTTTGAGTGCAAGTAGGAGCATTCTATCTTTTTAGGAACAGGGCCTCATTGTCTTCCACTGTGTATACCAGACTAGTTCCCCATGAGCTTCCAGGAATTCTTCGGTTTTTACCACCTAGTTTGCCTTAGGAGAACTGAGATTACATGTGTGCTGCTGCTCCTGGTTTTACATTGCATCTTTGGATTTGAACTCTGATCCTCACACTTGTGCGGTGAATGCTTTAACGCCACCGAGTGGAAATTACTGTTTCTTTTAAACGATTCTGGAGTGGGAGGTGTGTGACTGCAATTCCAGTACTTTAGAGGTGGTGGAAGGAGAACCAGAGTTTAAAGCCATCCTCAATTATATAGTTGGAAGTCAGCCTATTCTTTCATGAGATCTGTCACCAAAAGCAGGGGCTGGACAGACAGCTATTCAGTTACAAGCACTTTCTACTCTTACAGAAGCCTGGAGTTTGATTCCTAGCACTCACATTTAGGTGGCTACAACTTCTAGTAAACTCCAATCCCAGGGGATTTAATGCCTCCTATTCTGCCCTCCACAGTCACTTGCACACATGTGGCAATCATATATGTATATCTCAAACAAGATGTTGACTTTTCATTTACAAATACTTTAATTACTTCAATGATACAAAATTTTTGCTTGTGTATTCATTATATATAGGGATATTTTTATATAAGTGTATAATATACATTGGGCTTAGGATTCCCATGTTCCCCTCTACTTTTTTTTTTTTTTTTGAGAGGTATAGTCCAAGCTTGCCCCACACTTGCTATATAGTCCAGGCCAGGCTGGTTTAACTTTTGATCTTCTCTATCTCTGCCTTGCAAGCACTGTGATTACAGGTGTATATCACTGTGTCCAGGTAAGCAACAGCCTTGACACTGTCCAAGGAGCTTCCGTGTTCCATAATATGAAGGGTTCAAGATGCCTCTGTGGGGGAAAGTGGAAGGAGAGGCTGAGAAGGGAAACCATCAGGGCAACCACCTCTGGTTTGACTAAGTTCTGGTTTCTATTGGTGGCTCTGAAATGTGTCCTAGTAAAGCCTAAGACATCACATTTTCTCAGAAATGGGGTCTACAGGCCAAGGAAAGACTCACTTCACTTAATTTGAGGTGTTTTGGACAAAGTGATAAAGATCATCGGGGATTGGCTAACAGTTCCAAGTCCCTCAGGAGCACAAGTGGTGTGTCTCTCTCTGGTTAATGTTAAAAAGCTCAAGAGCCCAAAAGCCAGCTATGCAGGGTGGTGCACACCTTTAATCCTAGCACTCAGGGGGCAGAGGCAGGGCAGACAGATTTTAGTGAGTTCCAGGCTTGTCAAGGCTAAGCTACACAGTGAGAGTAAACCTAAAAAAAAAAAAAAAAAAAAAAAAAAAAAAAAAAAAGTTCCAAACCACTAGTTCACAAACCAGCTTCAGATAAAATAATGGTAATTGACAGTTCAGAACCCAAATTGTGAATTTTTATTTTTAGACAGTATTAATTACTGTGTAACCTAGCTTGGCCTGGCACTTGTGACTCTCCTGCCTTGAGCCCCCCAGAGCTAGGATTACAGGTGGAGCACCTTGTTTGGCATCCAGTTGTATCTGTTTTAATACGTTTGTTAGCTGGAGTCAATAAAATTTCCTATAAAACATGTTGGTAAACCGGGTGGTGGTGGCACACACCTTTAATCCCAGCACTCGGGAGGCAGAGGAAAGTGGATCTCTGTGAGTTCGAAACCAGCCTGGTCTACAAGAGCTAGTTCCAGGACAGCCTCAAAAGCCACAGAAAAACCTGTCTTAACGCCCCCCCCACCAAAAAAAAAAAACCAAAAAACATATTGGTGAAGGGACTAAGGAAGTGGCTCAGCAAGTAAGAGGGCTTGCTGTGAAAGCATATGGATCTGAGTTCAAATACCCAACACCCACATAAAAAACAAGACAATGTCCTGTAACAGCAGCGCTGTGGGGGATGGGGCTTGCTGGCTGGCACCCTGCCTCAAAGGAATAAGGTGAAGTTATAGAGCAGGACATTAGATATGCTCCCCGGGTCTTCAAGCATCACATGTGTTCACCTGGAAATTTAATCATGCAGAACACACACACACACACACACACACACACACACACACACACACGAGCATTTATCTTAGTTTTATCCCCTCTTGCACAAATAAAGAAGGCTAAATAATACCACTTAAAATAAATGTTTTTCTACTTGATTGCCAAAGTCAGTAAAAGTTGTATGGACTAGAGACTGGCCTGATTTTTATCAGATATAATTAATGCCTTTCTGGTTCTTAAGCATTTGGATTCCAATGTGTAAGAAATTTGCTGTACTGCCACAAATTTGAAATCGGGAGAACAAAATATCTATTCAAAAAGTACAGTGTCATACTGTTTACGTCTTTAGTTTATCTTGGTTAGGAATGGAAGGAAATACCATTTGAAGCCAAAATACCCAGAGGGAAATGCAAGATGCATTTCTTTTGGACATACACCAGAAGTAGTAATAAAAAGCTGTTTCTCTTACTTTACCAAGAAGGACAGCCATTTTGTGGCGCCATCTGCCTTTATTTAGAGAAGCAACTCTGATCCAGATATTTAGCTGTGAGTTATAAATCCAGACGTCACGGCTGTTGATTCTTCCACCTTCAAATGTAAAAGTGCACATTGAGCAACATCACTTATCAGGTCCAAGAGATCTATGCCATTAACATACAAGTAAACACAGCAGAATTTACCCATTCAATCTGAGAAGTTTAGAACTAGCTCAACAAATAATAAAGGGACCTTCTCTAGCTTAACAGAAATAGTTACACAGAACAGGTTTAAATTCTGCCAGTTGTTATCTTGAGAAATAATGGTTATAAGCTCCACAAGAATAAAACACAGTGAGTTTTACCTATCTGCCACCAGATAACCGCAAATAGCAGGATTGTTCTAAAGACATTTGAAAAGCCATACAAAACTAGGTGTATGTTGTAGTGTCATTCACTGGGCAGTAAAATAATCATCTGCTAGGTTAATTACATTATTTGTCAATCAACAGGCTTCAAAGCATAGATACTAGATATACTTTTTGAAAATCTGTCATTTTGTCTGACTTTTTAGGACATCATGTATAGTAAATATGCTCAACTTAAGAATTTCATAGAAAAATTCCAACTGATCAACTTTGGGAGAGAATTTTAGAAAACAGGCAAACATGTTTAGTTGTATGAGTACATCTGATTTTATAGTTTCCAGCTGGAGAGCTGGCTTCATGGTCAGAGCAGGTGCCGATCTTCCAGAGGACCTGAGTGTTCCTAGTACAGCCACGGAGCTTACACCTGCCTAGGACTGCTCCAGATCTGATCACCTCCTTTGGCCTCTGCAGGCACTGCTATGCTCTCCCACAAGAATGCACATGAACACACAAGCACTTACGTGTACACACACACACACACACACACACACACACACACACACACACACACACACACACACACGGATGTCTTCTGTACATATGTTTCTCTTATTGATTGATGAATAAAACACTGATTGGCCAGGCAGGAAGATAGGCAGAACTAGGAGAGGAGGATTCTGGGAAAGGTAGGCAGAGTGAGCCTGCTGGATAGTCACGATGCTGCTGGAGGAGTAACACCATGCCAGGTATTACTGGGTAAGCCACAGCCTTGTGGCAATACATAGATTGATAGAAATGGGTTAATAATTAATAGAGAGCTAGGCAATAAGAAGACCTAGTCATCGGCCAACAGTTTCATAATTAATACAGCATCTGTGTATTTGGGGCTCAATGGCCATGGGACCTGCAGGGCCAGAAAACTCATGCTTACACATACGAACATAGTTAAAACACATAAGACTCTAAGCATATGCATAAGCATTTAAAATACTATGACCAAAAGAATTTTCTGGAAGATCTTTTGCAAATGATTCTGGTTTTCAAGGGTAAAAGATCTTTTCAGTTTTGTATAAACTGGTTTGCCTGAATCCTTTTCACACTCAACAAGGTTTTTTATTTGTCTGTTTTGTTTTTTAAAACAGTCAATCTGGGGGCAGGAGAGATGGCTCAGAAGTTAAGAGCACTGGCTGTTCTTCCACAGGTCCTGAGTTCAATTCCCAGCAACCACATGGTGGCTCACAACCACAGCTAGTGGGATCTGATGACATAAAGGCAGATGGAGCACCCATACATAAATACATTCTTAAAAAGTCAATCTGTATCCAAATCAAAAATAGTAGCTACTGTAGTAATGTAGTAGTTCTTTATTTACCTGAAACAAGAATATCATTCCTTAGTGCACAGACGGCATACTCTGATTTGGTAAATTCTGGAAGCTTGGCCAAGGACTTCCACTCTCCTGTTACTGGATCATAGCACTCAGTGTACGGAAGATTAAATCCTCCAACTCGTTCACAGCCTCCAACCACAACTATCACCTCTGAATAGCCAGTAGACCTAAAATAATTATTGTTAAGAATGCAAAAACAATTGTAATACATTAAAATATATTCAAGATAGTTCAAAGACCTAACAACAATCAACACACCTTGACAGGCAGTTTATCCTTACAGATGTGCCAAACAGTATAGGCTGGTAGTTATTTGAGAACAGTATTAGTGACATCACTACTTCACAGAAAATATCTGCCAGGATGTTTTTCAAAATTTTTTCTAGGTTTACATGTTTTCCTGCATGTATGTGTTTGTGTCAGAAGACAGCACTAGTATTGTATACCCTGGAACTACAGTTAGGGATGGCTGTGAGTCACCATGTGGGTGCTGGGAAACAAACCCGGGTGGGTCCTTTGCAAGAGCATCCAGTATTCTTAACCTATGAGTCATCTCTCCAGTCTGCCCCTGCCATTAAACTTACTATTTAGTTTTTAAAGACAGTCTTGATATGTAGCCCAGGCTAACTTAAAGGTCATGATCCTCCTGTCTCAGCCACCTGTGAATACAAGTGAGTGATGTGATTACAGTTGTTTTTCTGGTTGGTTTGTTGATTTGGAGACAGGGTCTCACTATGTAGCCCAGGCTGGCCTGGAACAGATCTACCAGTCTCTGCCTCCTGGGTGCTGAGAGAAAGGCAAGGGACACCACACTAGTTTTATGGGTTTTGACTTCTGAAGCTTTCTGTTTTGTTACATTACGAGGGTCTGAAACCAGGTCATTGGGTTTCTAAGAACTCTACCACCTTTCATTGTTGCTAATTCTAAAATAAATTTGTAGTGTATGCACTTAAGAGTATTTCTTCAGAAATAAGTTATTTTATGTGCAAGGTTCTCATGTCATCCAGCTAGGAATATACGAGCCAAAACAAAATTCAAAAATATCTGTAAGTTAAACCATTCTAACACCCAGGCATGCATGCACTTGCTAAAAATGGAGGTATGTGACTTTAACCTTACAGAGACAGAACAGTTCTCGCATCTATAAGATTTGATATCATCAATTCATTGTGTTATCTAAAGACAGGATTGGCCAGTCCTAGAATAAGTAAATGAAGAAACAAGTGAAAGAATAAATCATAATCATGCAAATAAATATTTGCAGCACCCATTCAAGTTATTGTCTTAGCAATATTGACTTGAACATCGATAGTTCTTTGGCAAGAAAATGTTGGGTGAGTTTCTCAAGTACTAGCTCTACTGAATTCCTGTAGTGAGTAAGTGACCTGACAGAAAACACTGAGCAGGTGGCCTTAACACACTAACCTGCTTGCTGGTTCTCTTCCTCTTCTCTTTTTGTGTGGTCCTTTTGCATGCTGGGCAAGCATTTGGCCACTGACCTAAATGTTCACTCTTACTAGTTTTTTTTGAGATAGGAACTCACTATCGATGCTAAAGCTAGACTTGAGTCCTTGCCATTGTGACCCTCTGGTCTCAGTTACAGACTAGAAGATGAGAGAGTCAATCAGTTTCTCATAGTTAACATTAGATCCAGGCTAGGACACAGTACTGAGTCCAGGCAGTGCCTGCTGCACCAGGCAGGCAGTTTTTATAAGGAGCAGATGTAGTGACCCAGCCTCAAAATGTTTCCTTTTAAAAGCAGCAATTATCTAAAAAGTTATCATAGGAACTAACAGTAGATATGCATAAATACTGAGCCACAAAGATGTTCATGTTATTTAAAGTTAACAAGTTTAGCCAGACCATGGTGGCACACACCTATAGTCCCAGCACTCGGGAGGCAGAGGCAGGCGCAAGCGGATCTCATGAGTTTGATCCAGCCTGGTCTACAGAGGGAGTTCCAAGATAGCTAGGGCTACATAGAGAAACTCCGTCTTGATAAACCTAAGGGGGGTGGGAGGAGGAGAAGTTGTTGTTCATCAATAGCTTAAATGTGTTTGGGGTCTGGGTGTGTTTTCATATGCTTCTAATCCAAGCACTCAGGAGGCAGAGGCAGAGGCAGAGCTCATACTGCTTCAAAAACACATGCTATAAGTGCACATGGGTCAAACGGCTTAGTATTTATGTTTATACCCAAAGTGCTGCTCTTAGCCTTGATCAAGGAAGCATTTTGCAGTGAGTGGTGGTTAATGAAGGGCTTCACTTACTTCTGGTTAAAGTGCTGGGAACAAGTAACTGATAAGTGCAGTACCCTTAGTGAGACGACTCTTACTCCCTTTCAAACCTCAGAGAACACTCACAAGGACAGGAAAGAATTAAGAGCTGGAGAATGGGGAAGAGTGCTCTGCAACACTGTTTTGTGGACACGTCATGGCTGTAACAATAATGAATACATGGCAGCTTGGCTACCTGTACAAGATCGGACCCTTCAACATCCCATCATGGGGGAGGAGGGACTTGAGAGGCTCCCTCCTTCCCTGACTGCTACTGGCAGTTAATGATTGTCAGGGGAAGGAAAGTCATTTTCTTCCATAGTATAGTGCTGGAAGTTGCCCAGTGCCAGTAAATACTTCCCCACCCCAACATGAAAGTAGAGGGGCTAGCTGGGAAGGGGGTCAGCAGAAATGGGAGAGGGTAAGAGCAGGTAATAGGATAGTGGATCACAATACACGATATATATGCAATTGTCAAACAATAGCAAAAACACTAAGACGGGGTTGGAGAGATGGCTCAGCGGTTAAGAGCACTGCCTGCTCTTCCAAAGGTCCTGAGTTCAATTCCCAGCAACCACGTAGGCTCACAACTATCTGTAATGAGATTTGGTGTCGAACACTGTACACATAATAAATAAATCTTAAAACAACAACAACAAAAAAAGGGCTAGGGAAGTAGCTTAGTGGCAGAGGTCACAGTTAGCATGGTGAGGCCTGGGGTTCTCTCTCTAGTTAACCGCCCCCCACCATAATAATAAAAACAGAAGAAAGCAAGACGCTTTATTCAAGTTTTTTATCCCTAGGAGGTAAAAATATGGCTGTTTTGTTTCTTTCCTACATTTTTTTCAGCTGGTGTAAAGTACTCCATCCACTCCCTACCCTACCCCAGTTTAAGGAAAATAAAGAAAAACATCACATCCTGCAGGGGGCGCACATGATCACAGATGAGCATAAGAGAAACAGCATTGTCACACACACAGGCTTTCCTATTTGGTGAAAGGGATGTGCATACCTGTTTTCTACCCAGAAGGTTGGAGTGGATGTTGTTTACAACCTGGTGTCTTACTATTCTGTAGAGCCAGGCTTCACTAGAATCTTCTAGACTCCCAAGCATGGTTTCTCAGTCACTAGAACCCATTCTTCTTCTTTCTTTTGGGGGGTAGGGAGGAGTGGGAGGGAAGTGTCCCAAGACAGGGTTTCTTTGTGTAGACCGGCTGTCCTGCAACTTGCTCTGTAAACCAGGCTGGCCTCAAACTCACAGAGATCCTCCTGCCTCTGCCTCTCAAGTGCATCGCCACCTCTGGGCTAATAGAATCCATTCATATGAAAGGTTTCATGTACTCTGCAGAACAGTTTACTATTATGCTTATTACAAACCCTTCCTCCCTGGACTCTTACCCTGAGCATCGTCACTCAACAGAACACAGTCTTGTGGAAGAGTCCACAAGTACTTTTGCAAAGGAGCAATACAGTCATGCCTTAAGCTTTGTTGTGATAACTGTCACATGGGAACTTTCCCCCAAAGTTGTACTGTGCCTAAATATGTCAAAAATAAACTGCTTGGGGTTAGACTCCTTGTACCAGCCTGGCTAACTACTCCCTTCTTGCCCCTTGAGCTTGTTTCTCTGTGGGTAATAGAACTCAAAGGGACAGCCACATCACCTCGTTATTAATGGCCACCACTGGTTGTTTCACCAGCCTGACAAGGGGTGACATTCTAAGTAACACCTTTCAGCTTAGCAATTCTACTCCAATATGGCCATAATGTTGTTCCATGTCTGGTTGAAGTAGAAGTTCATTCTGAGTCACTGAATATACAAATGCAAACTCTTGAGCTGTTATTTTTATCTAAGTCACTATCATTCTGTTTTTACCAATAAAGACTCAGGAGCAGATGCTGGGTTGAAAACCTGCTAGCTCAGACAGGCTGAGAAAGCACCCAGCTGCTTCCTCTTTGACCAGTGTCCCAGAAAGAGAGCTTTCTTCTATGACATCTCTAACAAAAACTCCAACTGGATGTCACTCCCTTCTACTT